TATTATTTCATTATTTCATGGCCATTTTTCAAGTAGAAGAAAAAATGGAAGAGAAAAAGAGAAAATGGTTGGAAAAAAAGAAAGGAGGAACCCCCCCCACAGCCCCTGAAAAGCATGGGCTCTCACAACCCAACAGAAGACCGTCATCATGATAAAGTATCTGAGGACTATTCAGAAAATAACAATCTTTATCCTTCTGAGTTACACGCACAAGCACTTACCACAAGTCACATTTTGCAGTTAAGACTATTTCCTAATGACTAAGAGATTTGAGTATATTTCCCTCTGTTGTTTTTATTTTCATATCGATTTTTCTCCATGGCTGAAATGACCTTTAAAGTGTCAATGTATATCTCTTTATTTGTAACAAACACACACTGGAACAATGTTACTAAAACAATGTTAATTAAATAGGCATGACAGTTTTTTAAATGACAATGCAAGCATTTAACTACTCGCTACTAGTTCCTGTTAATTCGAGAGTTACATCACACAGACCCCATTATCATTGTTCTCAGTTTGGTAGTGGTGAACAGTGTGTTGTCCATTTAGTTAACAGCTGCCGCACTGGGTATATTCACTAACGGTTGCAAGCTGTTACAGGTTTTGTTTCTCTTGTTCACATTTTTTTACCTTCAACTTTTTGTCTTTCTGTTCGTGACAGGAATGAGCACGGTGCCAGAGGCAGTGGTAGGCCGACACAGCAGCATGCGAGTATTTGGTGTCTCTCTCATCACTGATATGGTGGACTTTGAGGATGGCTCGCAGTTCCAGGTGACTCATGACGATGTTTTGAAGGTTGCCCACCAGCGTGCTCAGTTAATGAAAAAAATGTTTCTGAAATTCGTACAGTTTATCGATTAGTTCTAGATTACTCATTTTGCCACTTCACCAATTTTTTTAAAAGTCATTAGAAATATTTTTTTGCTAGATATTATTACTACACAAGTTATTGATGATAGTTTTGCTTTCTTTATGTGCTATGCAGTTGTTCACAGTTAAAGAGTTTTCCAAATAAATGAGAACCAAATCTGTCTTTATTGCCATAATTATCTAACAGTGACCAACAATAATTGTTGAAGCTTGGTACCTCAGATCTATATTTGTAGGAATTATCTCATTAATTCTCAACATTAAAGTCATGGCTTGATAATATCAGTACCATTTTTCTTAGGTGTAAGTATTTATTGTTATGAGTGAAAATAAATATCTTGAGGTACTTGGTGCATCAAAAGTATGTATAAGTCTTGTTGATTCATAAAACTTCAGCCGTAAATGATTTGTGAATGGATTAAACTTTCTCCTCATCAAAAAGCATTTAGCGGGTGCTCTGATGTGGTCGCCTCCTTTTTTCCTCTCAAACATCTTGCGTCCTTTTTTATCTTCCTTCTTTCTTGTGTTCATTACTCTCTTGTAACACCTCTAATCTTTAGCACTTTATATGACCTTCTCATGTTGTAAGTGCTGTAAAGTTCTTACTAAAACTAAAACAAGCATTTAAATCTATACATCTGTTAAGTATAACAGTATTGAATTTAGACAGTCATTGGGACTGCCTGAACTTGTTATACTTCTCTGCAAAGTAGATTGGGATTTTTGTTGTTGTAACATTGTTCAAATTAGCCTTTTTTCCTCACAAGATTTCTAAGCTTCAGTAGACGCTAATAGGTCTTTTCAAAGGAAAGAAAGGAAGGACAGCACTGCAAAGTGGACATCAGCATGCACTATGTAGAATAGTAACAGTTGTATCTCACCACACAGCCAGCTTGAGAAAATAAAGAGAGGGCCGGGAACAGGGTGATAAAACAAAAAAGTCTTAAGTTTCTGAGCTCAGTACTTCTTATTGTGGTATGGTATTGAATAATAAAGTATTAAAGAGTGACTATCAGTATTGTCAAAGTTTATAAAGCTCACAATCATTTTTAGACTATGGATATTTGGTTTGGTTTTTTTCCATTTGTGATACGGGTACTGTTTATATACTGCTGGCTACCTTTTTTAAGCTTTGTGATAGTGTAATGAGTGTTAAGAAACACATGTACTGGTAGTAGTACTAGATGAATGTTTGATGTTTGTCACATCAGTAGTGCACACAATCGCATTTTCAGTAAATTATTTTGGGGGGGGCCTTTATGCACTACCATCTGTTTTTTCAATTAGTTTAAGACTAAGACACTTTGAGGACACGGTTCAGTCACAGCAGACAATAGTGTTTGTGCTTTATTGGTCTATGTTTTATGTCCTGTCTGGATGGCTGAGGGTGGTTGGCGGGTGCTCTGGTGTGGTTTGCTCCTTCGTTCCTATCAAACATCTGTCATCTTTATCTCCTCCTTCTTTTTTGTGTTTGTTACTCTCTTGTAAAACTTCTAATCTTCTGCACTTATATGACCTAATTGTGTTGCAAGTGCTGTAAAATGCTTACTTTGTCTTATGGCATATGTAGCTGATTAGGTCAATGCACACAAGACAATGTTACTGGCATAGACAAGGATTGATGTCCCGCCCTTTTTTGCATCATATATTACATATTCCGGTGCCTTTATTGCTAGCAAGGTTTTGCTCTTGCATCCTGAGAATCTCAACTTTCTTTTTTTCTCTTTGGCTGTGATCCTCACAGATTGTGAAGTTGACCTCATGGTAGGTCTTTTCCCTTTTGTAGGTATTGTTGTATCTTGGAAGAAGCAGACCTTTTCTTCCCCTCCTTCTGTTCTCTTGTTCTCTATCAAGGAAGTCCAATAGTCTTCCATTTCAATGCAGTGAAAGAATCCTAAATATCGGAAGTCTTTGTGAAAATACCTTGGGAACCCCTGGTTTTCCTGTGCCTATGTGTTCTTCATGTTGTCTAGCCATTTTATTTGAAAGTTCTTTCTGGAGCAACTCATGTGAAACCTTTCGAATTTTTGTCTGCTGATGTGAATGTGAAGTCCCTCACATTTAAAATACATGCATGGTGCAGGATTTTCATTTTCTTGATCTTAACTTTTTTCACTAACACAGGGTTTTCCTCACCTGGACTGGGCCTTTTCTGTGACCTACTTTTTGATTCTGCCGCCCTCAGACAATTTAAAGATTTTGAGTTCAATTTGAACATTAGCCACAGGCATTATGTTTAAAAATACAGGGAAAATAATGACCTATCTCAACATGTTGCTAAAAGTGGTAATTCTTCAGCTTAAGATTTCAGTTTCGATTATTACATAAATAGGACTGGTTTTGAAGCAGAAAATGGCGACCCATGAAACATAGCTTGCGATCCAGCGTTGGGAGTAACAGTAACACAAGCTGTGAAACATGGCTTGCAGTAGTGAAAGAGTTAATCATGTTGAGATTCCTGTCTCTCCTGACTCACTTTGACTTTGATAACTGTTTTGTGGTCATGGAACCTTTTGCAAACTTTGATGAATGAGAGTCTTGGTAATACTAATAGATCATAAGCATTTGCAGTGGTCTGCTACTTCTTGTAGCTTTTCATTCCCATCAATGATTTCTTTTTGCTTGGATATTGTATCTCTCTCAGTTCATGTTGGCCCAGATAGGCAGGGTGAAGCAGCCTACCTCCTAAATGATCTAAATTGTGTTGAGGGGAGTGTAAAATGTCTAAAGTTTTAATTTTTTACGTTCTTCAAAGCATCTTAGTGTATTTCTAGCTCAATATCAGGGCGACTCTTTGGCATGCATCTGAAAATGTGTCCCCCAGATTTTGCGGTTCTTCTTCTAAGTTCAGTCCTTCTAGTCTGTAAATCCTATTATGCAAGTACATGTGCCACATTTGGTAACTACTGGTAACTACATTTGGTAACTACTGTATTCCTAACTGGTTCCCATTTCTTTGATTATTTTTTAATCGATAAAATGAAATTACCAAAAAAAATTATCAAGCTTTACTTTTTGTTTTGACTGTCTGTTTGTCTCTGTCTCTTGAAAATGCAAAAATTGCTCTTTTCATGTGATTTTCCTAAGGGATTGTTTTTTTAAATGTCAAAATTAAGTAAGCCAATATTGGTTTTATGATTTTATATCACTTTTTGTCTGTGAGTGTTTTACGTGATTGATTGATTGATATGCATAGACTGCTTTTGTGTTTGTATTTAGAAGTGTTTGCTGTATCATATATCTGAACCATACTTTTTAGTTTTGCACTGTCTGTTGTTGGGATTGTTGGGGCTATTTTTTTGCATTAAATTTATTTTTTTTTATAGTATGAGCTTTCTTTTCCTGCTTTGTGCTTTATATTACATGAAGTAATGATATTTTACTTATAAATGCTTTGTATTTTATTATATCCTATTCAGTAGGAACTCATGTTGCATGAAACCTCATAAAGCATGAGAATGCTCAAGGTCCTTGAACAAATTACTTCATTATTCATATTTCTTTAAAGAAAATAATGAATTCACTTTGGCTTGAAGGAACAATGCAATTCAAGTGACCATTAATAATGCAAACACATTAGCATCCAGCCCCCCACCCCCTCTCCCCCCCCCCCCACACACACTTCTTTTAGCTTCTTTGTTTTCCACTAGAAGCAAATATTTATAAGTTTAATTAACAGAAGAACATACATAAGCTTAAAGTTAGAGCCAGACTTGCTCATCAGAGTTTTTCCAAAGCAAAAGTGTGATTAACGTAAACCTTCGATTTTAAATGAGAATTGAATTTTTTTTTCTTGTACTAAAGATGCAAGGAAAAGGATGAAAAGGATTCCAGAATCATGTGGGCAGTGCTAAGATGTTTCTTACCCCTGTCATATCATTAGGCCTGATCTTCACTGATTAAGTCAATTATATTTATAAGGAAAACGGAGTATAGTCTTAAATTGAATAGTCGCAATAAGAGCAGTGGTACAAAAGTTTGGTACTGGTGTAATAAAAAACATTTCAAGCATTACTGTTTTTTTAGTTTCGTAAACAATTGTTTCGAAGGGTAAAGAAATATTGTCACTTGATGATAACATTTGAATTTAGGTAATTGTGTGAATTTTAAATGAATTTCAAGTCCCGTTGCAATATTTTTGACAAGGTGCTTTAATCATTTCACTCAGTTTAATTAATAGATAGGAACAAAACTTAATACTAAGATAAAAACGCAGGTATAAGATTTTACTGAGATTGACTAAAACAAACGGTTCACTGTACTGTCAAAAGTATCTCATTCCATTTTTTATTGCATAAAGATTTATTTGCTTTTGAAGTACCAATAATAAAAATATTTTATTGATCTTCTATGACAGTATAGCACCTTTTTGAAAATCCACATTTATACAGTGCCGACCTCAGAACAGCAAGAGAATTGTTTTGAAAACTTCTTTAAATCTGAAACCGTTACATGTATGAGGGCTGCTCTTGCTATAAATGTCATTTATCTATTTATGATGTATTGTATAAAGGCATGTCCTTTTTACTGTACACACAGAGCTTAATGCACTGAGCAAAGATATCAGCTGTTGGCTAGCTAGTTGGAAAAGTGAGTTTGTTTCTCAAGACGGGAAGATTAGTTCTGTGAGTATTTTTTCTGTCTGCTGGAATAATGAAATCCCACCCCTTCAGGTTGGCTGGAACAGGCAAGGTCAATGCAGCCTGCCTTCTAAGATCTAAATTGTGTGGATGGGAGTGTACCATTGAATGTTTTCAATTGTACCAATTGACATTTCATATCAGTCACTTTGTGATCAAATCATAGGTGGCTTGCTAAGTTTTACTGAATTTTCACAATAAAAACTAGTCAAACTATGAAGTTCATAGAAATGATATAGAATTTAAAACATAGGAAAGTGTCCTTTCTTTAAAGAAAAATAATATAATTCTTACTTATTAGTATTGGGTACTTTAACTTTAAAATATTCAAGATGGTCCTGTTTTGTTTTATTCTCTGTTGAATTAAGAAAAAGACTTTTTCATTTTTAGTGCCTTGAATTTCTCAATGATGAAAAATAAGGAGAAGAAGAGAATTCTTTACTAAACTTGTGTAGTCAGGTTTTACATCAAATTATACATGATTTATAAATTCAGTTAAAACTAACGATGTATTTTGCATAGATCAGGTTTGCCACCTTGTACTATTGTGTTCACTGGCAGCAGATGTTCAAAATGTTTTATTTTTCTGTGATGTCAAAATGTTGAAACACCTACAATGCTCATAACCAATATATAACTCATTATTTCCCTATTGTAAAAATGTTTTTTTAACATATTTTTTGGTCTTCCTATTTCATGTTTTCCGAAGTACTGATATTAGGTTCTTGATATATTTGACCTTGATGGAACATATTGGTGGTATCGTAAGCAATCCGCTGAAGTCCATTTTGGTACTTTTTACCCTGAACACACACAAAAAGAACCAACTAGTTTTTGTTGCGATGCTCCTATCAGGAATCATGAAAAGCGAGAAAATTGTATAAGCCTCTACCATGACAATACGTTAAACTGCATCAAAAATTGGAATTACGAAGTCTGTCTCAGAATAAAGTTTCCCTGTCATGCTGTCCGCAGATATAATTATAAATCACCTTGTATCAACAGAAAGCTTATTCAAATACCTATCAACGTAGGAATCATCAAGTTCAAGACATTTTTCCATTTGATGTACTCAGCGGTCAAAGACAGTGGCCAGTGATCGTTTGTCCAAGGTCCCGAGTGCTTTACTCAGAGCCTCTTCTGTCTGGTCCTCGTCCTCAAATCGCAGACCTCGCAGCATTTCTTTCACCTTGGGGAAGAGGTGGAAGTTGCATGGAGCGAGATCGGGCGAATAGGACGGGTGTTCCAGTAATTCCCACGAGTAGCCCTAAACAAGCTCGTTCACAACTCTGGACTTGTGAACATGCGCGTTGTCATGATGCAGGATGACGCTTTCTTCAAGCAAAGCGGGTCTTTTGTCCGGGTTGCGAGTCGCAGCTTGTCTTTGAGGACGAATCTGTAGTAGTCACCATTGACAGTTACGCAAGGCGTGACTAGCCAGCCCAGTATGATGTCACTCATGTCGAAAAAAAACCCAATGTGGTGCATCACATTTCTCTGCCCGAGTTTTCTGTGTGGGCTTCATCTTTCATGTCAGACCTCCCACCTTCAACCTCCCTGGTCCATTTCCTTACTATTTGAATTGATGAGGCATTATTCTTTATTACTTTGTATAGATCACCATTGGTTTCAGCTACAGACTTGCCAAGAAGAGTTGAACATTTGATCACAACTCGGACAGCGTAGCATGAGTAGGTTGCACCGATGTTTTGCTCAGCCATTTTCCTGGAATTTGCCTTGGACAAAGTGCACAAGAACACAGCACTTGACACGTCACAGCTCTATGACCCATGCACTAATGCCCTTGAAATTTAGCGTTGAGATTTTTTAGACATGATGTCATGACATCACAAAATTTAGCAGCTGTTGGTTGTGTACTTTGGATTTTATGGAGGAGGGAAACTTTATTCTGAGACAGACCTCGTATGTGGATTGCTTTTGACAGCGATGATATAAATTTGCTGTGACTGTGTGTGTATTTTGTCCCCCCCCTCCCAACTCATTCTTTTTCATAAGTACTGTCTTTTGTACTTACTTGCATTATTGCATGTAGTTCATCTTGTTTTGCTTTTATTAAAATCTACTTTTATTACCTTATATAGTATCGTTCTGTGTGTTCTTTTTATAGAAGGTGATTATGAAATGATTTGGTTAGACAAAGGACCGGCAAGTACAATTATTGGTCTTTTAATAAGGTTTATTCTGTTTCTTTGTTACTGAACTAGGAATCGTTCCTAGACTAGTACTCTTGACAGTGCTAGCAAAAAAACCAAAAACATGCACACCCTGAAAGCACATTGTTATTTCAACATATTGGCGACATAACTACATATGTCGTTAAAGATGGTTTTATTAGACTCTCTCGTAGAGTTACAAACCTTTCGCCATCCCAAATGGAGATCTTTTGAAGTTCCATTACAACTTACATATAGGTACTAATTGTACCAAATACGATACATGTAGTAGAAATTAACCAAATAATACCAGCCTGAGTACTTACCTATAAACCCTCCCCACCAAACCCCAACCAAACACAGGCCTTTACTTTCTGTGTGTGCATACAGACATATACTCGTTTTTCCCCCCGAGTCCCACCACTTCATCTTCTTTACAGATCCCTATGGTTAAATTGAACTTCGGATGGGTTATTTTTTTACTCCCGCGACGCCATCAACTCATCCGAAGTCGACTATTCTTTGACTTTGTGGTCAAAATAATGGGTGTGCCACCCTCACCTCCCCTCCCCTACCCTTTCTCCACCCCCTTTAAAAAAATAACATGAATTCTTGAGTTTCAAGTTGGTGTTGGAGGAAAAATGATAACTCTTCAACAACGCAAGTTCAAGAGTATCTTGTTTGAGATTTGGAACAACTTTGCCTTTACCGTGTCTCTCAATGACCACATGATGCCAACTGTGATTACAGAAAATCTCTACATGACAAATAAGGTATATTTTTTTTTCTCCTTCATCATAATCATTATCATCGCATGATGAAAAAGTCTTCAGTCTTCTCACTATACTTACTTAGTATATTACTCTCTCCCCATACCGTGGCGTCTGTAGCCTAGTGGTTAGGCTTCCGGACTCGTGATCGTGAGATTGCGGGTTGGGGGTTCGAGACTCAGCTCGGTCCGGCGTTGTGTCCTTGGGGAAAGACACTTTACACGAACTTCCCACTTGGCTCGGTCCTATCGGAAACGGACTTCAAACTAGGAGGTCCAAATAACCTAATAGTGTTGATGGGGGCGTTATACCCATACCATTCCACCATTTTTCACCATATACCATCAGTCGAGAGCAGTCGATGCCATTCTTGCTTGTCCCTGGCCACCTTCTCCAATCTCGGCACATCCAGACCCTTGGTGATTGCCTTACTTATAGGTTCCTAATCGTGCCTCGGTTTCTTCCAGTTTGTCTACCTCTTTTTCTTTTTTCAGCTGGTCTCCAATACATGTACCCTGTCTGATAAGGCAATCCGGTCTTCGGCATTCTTAGAACATGTCCTAAATATCTCCATCTTCTGTTTATTGTCATGTTGATATCTTCAATTCCAGCTCTTTCTACCACTACATTATTTTAATTTATACAGTGGAACCAGGATTCAATGAAGTCGTCGGGCCTAGCCTTCAAATTAGTTGAATCCGTGTGTTCGTTATGGCAAACATGAGGTTTTTTGTGTAGATAATTACAGGCACCAAGCAAGTAATGTATTCGACTTTCTCAATCAAAAGGAGTTTGGTTTCAAATGAGAAGCATTTTCTTTCATTTCTTTGATACCAAAGAATTGCTAGAAGATTCAAGGAAAATATTCTGAACTCTACCAAGCACACACTGTGCAAAAGAACCAATTTGTTCAAATGTACTGTTTGCCAAACAAGTTCTGTTGCTGTGTAAAGCCTAGCATACGTCAACGTTTGATTCCACAGCCCAGCGCGCAATTCATTACTAAGATCTATGTCAAGATTAACTTATCATTTTAATATTGATCAGTAGCTAGGGAAAAAAAAACCTGTCACATTTGTATCTTTACTGATGTTCCACGCTCGGACCGTTTGTATCCCCTCCCCCCTAGACACACGCACACAGTCATACTAGTGCTGGCCGCCTGTCTGACTTTGACACATGCTAAGATTTGGGTGCCTGATAACAACGTGCATGTTGGTATAAAAGAAGATCGCTGATTGGTCGCATAGAGCAGTTCCCTCTGCAAGCTTGCTCAATATGTTCCTTGAATCCAGGTTATTAAAAAAAATTTTAAGAATAAAAAAACCTGGGATTCCGACTCTGTTCGTTGAATTCGAGCTTTTGTTGAATCTGAATTCCATAGTAATTAGATCAATTCCATTTTATTAGTAAAATTCTTAGTAAAATTTAAATTTTCGTTGAATTGCTTTGTTTGTTTTCCATAGATCTACATCTCTGAACCATACGTCTGTACAGCCACATTGCCACTAAATATTTTAAATTTCGTCTTCAATTTCAATGAAATGATCTTTGACTTCCAGAGAATAATTATATTTACAATCAAACCTGTCCAAGACTTGTCAACATTTGTTGATGAGAAAAGTGTTCACCCTCGTCCTAGATTGGTGTTCTTGAAAAATATCATAATAATAGATAAAATGCAAGGTGGAAAAGGGAAGTGGTCGTTTGTACAGATCATTGTCTTGCTCAAGTGATTGTTAGAGGGTTTGATTGTTGCCTGTTTTTAATATGTGTGACGATGCGATGGAATCAGGCGCTCGTCAATTTTTAGGAATGTCAAATTATTGATATAATTTTAAAGCTTGTTCATTTTTCTTACTTTCGATGAAAAAATACCCTTAAACAAAAGTCAAGATATATTCATCACTGAAGAAGGTGGGAGTTGCCTGGTTTCAGAGATAAAATTAAAGAGAAAATGGCGGACAAAGTTAGGTGACTTCCACAATTTGTTGAGTCTTTGGAAACTGAAAATATGTATTTTTTGTGCCTTTAATCAACATTTTTTTGTAAAATCCACACTGAAATGTGTTTCGTTTTTAAATGGACATAAAAGGTGTTGCGCCCAAAAGCAAATATCAGATAAAAATGACGGTTTCTTCAGTTGAATCATTTTGACGAGCGCCTGGTTCAACACGGTGCCTCACATATGTATGTATAAAAGAGTTTCACTGTAAATTATTAGTCCCTGGCTCACCAACTGTCTCTAATTTCCCAGGACTGTCCTGGATTCGGCAATGGGGGAATTTGAGAGGAGAGAACATATTTACTACCACCATACACCAAAAAACAGTCCCTCTCTATGCAGTTCTGTGTGATGTAAATCTAGGGAGGGAAGGATCAGCCCTTCCAACCCACATTTGTTTTATGTAGTAATATTGCAAGCTAAGTTTTAATGTAGTGAGACAAAGTACAGTCAAACCTGTGCAAGACGGCCACCCTTTGTCAATGAGAAAAATGGCCGTATATGACAGGTGGCCGTCTTAGGCAGGACTGATCAAGATGAAGAAAATGAACCATTCCCATCCGAGGTCCCAATCGAAATTAGCTGCATTGTTGCTGTTTTTGTTGTTGGTGGTGGTGGTTTGTATTTTGTTTGTAACTTTTATTTTGTTGCTGATTTTGCACAAGAGTGACAATAATACGAAATGTATCAGACGAGGAAGACCGAGTGCCATGTTAAAACAAACACATGGGTCGCCACCACTGGGAGAACGAGCGACGCTTCTGTAACAAGTTCATGTTGACATCCTTTGTTACTTTGTTACAGACTGGGTAAACAGTGACCACTCATCTCACTTACGATTTGTATGAGTTCTGGGCGGGGCTTATGGGTTTTGAGGGATCACAAGCTTACCTCACCAGAAGCTGAAAATTGGTAGCTATTGGTCAACAGTGGGAGGGGCCTACGCAACATGATTGGTTGAAGGGACTACCTAACAACAACGACAGGTGATTGAATTATTATGACGGCTAGCCCACAACGCCAGGGGCCAATGCACAGTTTATGACAAAACGTAATGGAGTCACTAAGGTGTCCGTCTAAGACAGGTGTTATTGCTTAGTGCGATAGGGGTTTGGTGTTAAAATATAGTGGCCGCTGCCGCGTTGTACAGATGCCCGTTTTACACAGTTAAATTATATACAAAAAACGCAAGGGGGGAAATGGAAAGTGGCCGTTTGTACAGGTGACCGTCTTATAGAGGTGGCTGTCAGGGCAGGTTTGACTGTATATGTATGTGTGGTGTTCACACTAAAGGAGTGCCAGCATCACGCGACCTCAGTGCTGTCTTGCATCTCCATTTTTTTTAAAACAGTGAATATGTGACATCTTCTAAAGCTGACCTTTTGTTATGAACTGTTTTCACTGTTATTAAAAATGGAGATACGACAAAAAAGCACTGGGGTTGCGATCCGTGGAGCAGCAGTTTGAGATTTATTCACTACCTCGTCGCAAACAGATGACTCTTAAAGTATGGTTTCCCAGTGGGAAAAACGTTTATCGAGTATCTTGGTCTTTCTACTGCAAAATTGTATCCCTTTCAGCTTGGGTTGTCCATTAAAGGAAGAGTTGAGACCTGCCTCCTGAGTTATTTAAATTGTGTTAGTGCAGACTTAATACACTGCAAAATTAAAAAACCCGATACAAATGGACTACAAGATTACCAGTTTGTGCCTGAGGTTGTCGATATATATCAATCAGAAGTCCTGAGTAAATTAAATGTAGCATTGAACCATTTTAGGGTTGGGCATTGGACATTCCAATTCAAACTGTAGCAGCCCATACAAGTTTTTTACCCAGTGGCTAACTCAGAGCCCAACAATGAAGAGTGCTTTTTACATATTATTTTTCAATTCCTTAGAAGTCTTTTTCAACTGACGTTTTTTCATAGTAAATGTATAATTATTTTATATGCTCTTTCTTCATTTAATTTTATACTGTAAAATGAAAAATACCTGACTGTTGTTGCAATGACTGATGGACTTTATTACATATGAAATAGATGGAAACATAGTGAAGTTTTATAAACGACAGAATAAAAAAAATGATGCATGGGAAGGTGCAGGTCTTGGGTGGAGCTCTCCATGTCCATAGACATGCACATCGACAGCAACATCAGGATCAATCAGTCATGACTGACAGCTATCACTGGTCAAACTGGTCTTTATTCTTCAATAAATAAGCTGCCAGAAACTCCACTGGATTTGGAGGCCTGAGGAAGATTGAGTTGGACAAAAGTTAAGTAGATTTTATTTTAAAAGAGAAAACATCTAAGATCTACAAACTCTGAGTAGCTGCAAATTACTGGATTCAAAACTGAGCTCTTGTGGGTAAGATTGTACCACTTTTATTGTTAATTTTTTCAGTTAATTACCAGCTTCATAGACACAGCACAGGTCTTATCTACATTAAAAAATCTTTCTCAGAATGAAAGTGCACATCACTTCCGTATTATCTATTAAGTTCAATGGTTGCTTGAATGCAGCTTGATACTGTTATTGCTACTGTAGCAAGCTGAATAGGCTCTCCCCCTCCCTTCAAGGAAGACAAACACTCTTTGTTACATCTGTTCTACGATGTCCTAAGGGAAACATTAGACATTATTATACTGAGTGCACTAGGCCTACACGGATTCATTTAAGATGCTCCATGAGCTTTAGTTTCAGAGACACACGACAAAACAGAAACGATTTAGAATTTGATTTCGCCCTAGAATTTCCAAAGTCGTCTTCTTCTCAAGAAGTAACAGACACTGGAATAAACTCAATCTGGAATTATAAAGTGTCAAGATTCTCTAACAGTATAGGGAATGCAAATAACAAAAATAGTGTGACAAAGCCACTGGTGCTCTTACTCTAACAAGGCTCCGAAAACAAAGCAAGAAGAAGTACAATCAAGTTTCAGCATTTGAATTACAGAAAAGTATGAGTTGCGACAAGACGGTCGATTTTTCACTGAGCTTTCCAAGTACTTAAAGTTTTTTGGTCTTTGCATCTATCATATATGTACTCATTTCTTACATCTAAAGGTGCACCTTTGTTCCTAAGACTTTCCCCCGACAAGTGCAAGTATACCACTGATGGTAATAGTGTGAGAGATGTGGTTCTTTTTTCATTGAATATAATAGCCTACTAACAATGCAATAGACCTGCATGTGAGTCTCAACCAGATTGTCTGAAAATTTTGCGCGTACCCCCCCCCCCCCCCCAATAAGAGCTTAAATTTTTGTGGGTGTCATAAGGAAGGACTTTTCCGAGTAACGAGCGACCACCCCAACAAACACAATAAAGAAGAGACCTAACCCTAACCCTAGGCTAGGCCTACCCCAAAAAAGAACCTGCAACGAGTCTCATGTAAAAAGGCCAGCACAAGTCCAAAATGAAAACCCCCCCCAAAAACCCCCACTCCAAAACAAAGAGCACGCATTATATGGCCTACCTACATCTAGAATCTATATCTATATCTAGATCTACATTGCTATTATAATAGGGTTTGATACAGTTTCGTAACACAATAGAATTGGAGTATGAATCCTCCATACCATATATAGATCTAGATCTAGTAATCTAAATAAATCTAGGTCGATATCTTGTAGAACAAGTGAATAGGAATAGGCCTTGAACTAGAAATCCGCATCCGATTCCGAAAAGAGGGACTCAGCTGAGTATAGATTCTAAATAATTCACGCACCTGATGAAATGCTTTTTACCAACGGCTTACCAACATTAATATTACAGCACAACCTATGACTACGATAGGGTTTGACACAATAGAATTGGAATATGAATCCTCCATTGAGGTCTATAATGATCTATATAAATCTAGATCTAGATCTAGATTCTATTAGAACAAGTCAAGTGAGTGAATGAATCCACACGATCTCAACAATTGAATTTGTCAACAAACGAAATTCAAAATGGCCGCTCGAGCACGAAACTGAAAGTAGATAATTTAGGTCGTCGTCCTTTTTCGTATTCGTATTTCTACTCGGTTTCCGACAATTATGTCGGAAACGCCGACGTCGGCAGTCGGCGGAGCGCGCGTCGGCGGTCGGCACGAAAACGAAAAGTGCCGACAAAGCCGACGGGAGAAAAAGGGGGCGCTGGCAGTCGGCCAGGCCTCGCACTTCGCACATTGACTGATACAGGTGGGCCTAGCGATAGCATCGGCCGGTTCGCGAGTCGGGTCGCGTTTGTCGGATTTCAGACGATTGTCGGCAAACATGCAGGTCTAAATGCAAATCTGACAATGATGCACAACTAGACATTTCTTTTCAAATGGTGATGATCAATTGCAGAAGCAACAAAAACAAACCTTTCCCGTGCTAGAACTGACATTCCAGACAGAAGAATAGGTACCACAGTTTGATCAAGATATGCTCTGGTCGGTAGGGACTGAAGGTCAACCTTGGCCCGTTTGTTAGGCACTTCAGCAGCCTCTTTCTCACTCATGATGATTTTCTGAGGGAAAAATTTTTTAAAACATTATGATTATCCAGTTGATGAAATAAAGAATCATGGAACATCACCACCATTTAGGTTATATTATGATTAAACATACACATATAGGCTACTGGGTGTCTATAAAAAAAAGGACCCATCTCAAGGGCAATGACTTGGTCATATTTGCACCAATTTCAACAAAACTTGAAACAAAATATATGAAAAAAAATGAATAGTGATGAAAATGTTAAGTTTTAAAAATTTTAATCAGAATTGGGTAGAATTCAAAACTTTAGGCAGGGGTGTGATTGACCCTTTCTCATTTCAAGACGAAGAAAGTATAAACCATAACTGTCATGTCAAATGGATATCCTGCAAGGAGGAGGATGAAACTATTTAAGATGTCCCGCCAACTATCGTGCCAGAACTGGTCTGCTGGGACATTTCAGTAACCCACTTTCAGCACATTTCAAGGACCCCCCCAGCAAGTGTTGAGTTCCTGCGTGCTGTCGGCAATGCTGACCGTTTATGACGCCACAGCGCCAAAAGAGAGAGAGAGAGAGAGAGAAATGGATATCTCACAATGCTAACAATGTCATACTATTTTTCATTCCATTGACTTTGATGAGTCAGCGAAGCAGTTCAAACAACATCAAACAATGTTATCTTTATACTCGGTGGACTGTCAGAATAAACTTTTTACATTTTCTTTGTGACAAGAGCAGGTCTGCACTTGGGATTCTGTTGCCATGATGCTTTCATTGTTTACCTCGCTGGTACATTTTCCTATCATGTCACCTAAAGAGCAAAATATTTGATGTTCTGAAAGATTAATTACTAACTTGAATATTGTCTGGGATGTCTTGAGTGTCAGGGACTTCATTTGTCCCTAACTCTGTGGTAGACACTGGTCTGGATCCTTCTGAAAAAGACATTCAAATGAAGACTATGTAAACCATTCCTCATTTTCATCAGAGTGTAGGTAAAGTCCAACATCATATCTGTGAATCTTTTTCCCAAATGATTGTTTTCTTTCACAAAAGCTGAGATGTGCGACTGCGAATACTTTGAGTGGTGTGTAAGTAAATTCATTTGCGAGTATGGCTTCCAAACATCTCTATGGACACAAAGAGACGGCTTATCAGTTCAAAATTTAATTTATAACAATATTGTGCTACCAGTGCCAGACCTGGACATTAAGTAAAACACAAGAAAGCAAAATTACTGCATGCCAGATGAAATGTCTCCACAAAGCCGTTAGCTCACTTACTACTGGGCCCTTTGACCAGTCACAAGCGTTGAAGACTGGCGTTTTTGGGAGTATTTCAATAAATCACAACTCTCAAAATTACCCTATTGTTATTATTTTTTGACACAGTAAATTAACATTCAAGCTTAATCTAATACAAAAAACTAAAGTTGTCTAAGACTAATATTTTACTTTGTATGATTTTTTAAAAATTAGCATGAATTTAGTTTTCCGAAAAATGTCCAGAGACGTGACAGGTAGAATGAAATTCACAACAACAAAAATAAAAGTTAAAAGTGTTCTGTTTTGATTTGTATGCATGTGTGAGTGTTTGGTGAAAATATAAAAGCTGATCTGTGCGTTGATTCAGACCCATACACTGTCTGACATGAGACAGATACGGCACGACGTTGTGATTTCGTTGCGCGAACAACAACACCAGTACTAGTACTAGTGCTAGATCTAGCCCTAGAACTACGACTTGGGCCATGTTCAGGTACATATCCAGGATCCTAACTATCAGACACATCATATTCTGAGACACAAGAACTAGTAAAATGTATAGAAGTATAGAAAACGGCGAAATTATGTGATTCTTGTTCATGCGACTTTTTCGACCGTTACTACGACGCGACTGTCGGATTACTATCAGCTGTATAGAAAAAAACAAAGCGCGAGTTCCGGTCAGTTCAACCCCAGTTGGGGTCACTGTCCTTCACCTTCAATAACTTAAAAACTACGGGCCCCAGAGATACGAAACGAAGTCTAAGTAGCACAGGCTTGGCCAAACAAGGGTATGAGGCAGGTCTCGCGATCCATGTGTGATTTGTACAGCGAAAAAAAAAATTCCAAAGTTGGTCACGCAGGGCTGGTGGGAACCGTCGCGAGCGTCGCGCCGGGGGTCACGCAACTGTTGTGTGAACCGTCTGAGGTGAGTTAACATTGCAAGAAAAGACTGGCAGAGAAAAAAAGAAGTAAGAGCAACTATTAGTCTGGAGTCCTGTCTGCATTTTACAGAAAAAACAGGGAATAAAACGGTTTGGCCACCTGTTACGAATGTCACCAAGCCAGCCAGCCTTGAGAGCCTGTGACATTAAGTACCCGGTACTCAGGCTATAAAGTAGCCAAATGCCTAAAATATTTGTAGATGACCCAGACGCACTTTATTTTAAAGATAGGCAACAAGCAGATGATTTTATAGGCCTCCATAAGAAACTTGTGGGAAAAAAACTCAAAAGCATACAATCGCAAACAGATATATTTAGGTCTAGAATTATGGGCTCTCATTGTCTTGAGGTGCAGTGTTTGCCTCTCATTCATAAAGTCCCAAGATAAAAACTTGACAAAGATGAAAAAAGTTCTCCTAAATGTTCTTTCAGCTCGTTTTCAGTTCCTTCGTCCTCCTCTGCTTTCCTCTCCACTTTCTTTTCCATACCCTACCTCCTTTATCCCTCACTCACGACTCTTTCTCCTGCTAATCCTGGCTGCTGCGTACTGTTGTCTTTTAGCCTCACCCCTGATTTCGGTAGGTAAAATCTACCATCTGGCCATCTTGAATAAGGGTGGAAATCTCATATACGTCCCATGTGCAAGTTGTGCACATTAAAGATCCCTCGATGATCCTAAAATCGATAAGTTTGTGCTTTGGCTATGAGCCAGGGACAATTCAAAACTAATTTCCATCAAAGCTGAAAATACTCTCAGGTATAAACATGACTATGTCAGTATTTTCAAAACCGTAATATGTGGCAAGGTGGCCCTATGAAGTAGAAAAAATTGTTAATCTACATATTTGTAAATCAGTTGCACTGCAGGTTGAAGAACCAGCTGTCAACTACCCCTAAGTCTAAGATCTTGGTGAAATGCTTTACAATATATCAATATTAATTACAGATTGAGCCTCTATATCATAACTATTAACTAGATCTAGATTCTAGATCTAGATTCTAGATCTAATCTAGATCAACCACAACTCCAGAACAAATTACAAAAAAATTCAATAACACACGTCACATGCCAAGTAACCTAGATTCTAGATATAACATACTCCAATATAACTATAACAGCTGCAACACTTGAAGTATGTTGTGTCGTCTAATTTTGTAGCAGTAGCAGTAGTAGTAGGTAGCGTAAACACGGCCTCGCGGGCACTCACGGCCTTCTGACCGCGTGGTACCGGTGAAATCGGGGTAATTCCGATCGCTGTTTTTTTGCTCTTTCGCTATAAAACACCAAATGCCGTACACCATGTAAAAGTTCAGCTTTTCCTCGTTACAATGGTGTAAGTTGTTTATATGTCCGATTATTAGTAGCTGGAGAATCGCCGACGAAAGCGAAACCCTCGCGGTCTGAATGCGTGGTCAGCCTGTTCAAAAATTGACAGGCATGCATTCAAATGCTTCGCGGAACAGGCGATGATTAAATACCGTCCTTTCATTGGCGGAAAACTTTAGAACTCTAAAGTGCTTTCTCGTGGTATATATTTGGCCTTTTGCGTTTAAATAAAAAGCTTTTAAAAATGCTGTCAAAATGTTTAAAGATCACTTTTTACACAAAATATGTCAAACACAGGCTTAAAAAAGGTATCAAGATCAGTTTATTTCCTATTTCAATAAACTAATTAGCTTGGAATTATTATACATCAATCCTTCCGCGAGACTCGGAAAGCATGTGACCCCGCACGCGGGGTACACTACAGTATAAGTATAAGCCGACTCGCTCGCCGCGGGGGCCGGTGCGGCGCCGGCCGGGTCAACGCTCGGTGTTTTTGTCGAAATAACAACAGATCATCGTGTTTGAAGTGATAAAATACTGATTTGTAATGATCTCAGTCTTGAAAAAAATTAGGCTCCATATATTTGTTATAGTGATTGTACTCTGTTAATGTGGAGATGTTTAGTGCTCTTGGTACTCTTTTATTGTCTGTCAAACATGGGGTTGCAGCCAGTGACTGACTTTAACCAATTTGATCAAATTTTAAACAACTACCATTTTCTTAAAAATTGACTGAGAGGTTAAAAAATGGTACCAAAATGCTCAATGGATATAGGCCTTTCAAATGGAACAGATAAATTTGGCATGCAGCTACTTTGAAAATTTAGTTTCTGGTACCAAGTAGTAGTGGTTGATAATGGTAGGGCACTGAGACTTGTCAAAGAACAACAGTGACAACACTGAATTCATGAAGTAGCCTACAAAAAAAATTAGGTATTTTTTTACTTTCCCTCCCGTCTCACACTCAGCTACCAGTTGTCTATTTACTACTAAATATTGATGCGCTGAACACAAATATCAACTTCATTTCTGTCGCAAATTAACAGTTTTTGAAATATGTGATTGTTTTTAACCGAGATAGACATGCTTTGGACCAATCGGGGGGTTCCAGGGGGGCCTGCCCCACTGGGGTAAAAGAAAATCTGGGGTTACAGGGGGGCATGCCCCCCTGTTTTTACCCATAATTTGATATTTTACAGTTAGATTTGAAATTGTCTTGAAAATAATTGATTTGCGACAGTTTAGTGGCTTTATGTGTGATCTGCAGCAAACAGTACAGCAGTTTAACCCCTGAAAGAGTGCATCTGTGTGCGGGAGTGAAAGTAAAAATTTACCAAAAATTCAATAACACATGTCACAAATGCCAAGTAACCTGGATATAACACACTCCAATATAACTGTAACAGCTGCAACACTTGAAGTATGTAGTGTCTTCTAATTTTGTAGCAGTAGTAGTGGTTGATAATGGTAGTGCACTGAGACTTGTCAACAAAGAACAACAGTGACAACACTGACTACAGTTCAGACAAGGCGTGCCAGAAGAAAGAAGAACAAAGGTTCAAATTTGGCAGACTGCCGCAGATTAAGATTTCTTCTGGGATTGTGGCTGACATTTTCAACGACGCTAATCACACCGATTTCTAGTTTCGTAAAACAGCTAAATACACATAAAAGAACACCACATGGATTTTAAAAGCAAATTCCACCGGTTGATAGGACAACAAACAAGCGTACCATCCGCCATTTTCGTTGTTTCTAAGGGAAGGGGAAGTAGAAGTTTTTGGCCTCCTTGTGCACGCTTATTGGTTCGGAAAACGTTTCGCCTTTTTCCTTCTGTTGCTGCAGCAGAAGCTTTTCTCGGATTTCAATAAATTATTAAATTGTATTAACGTAAATCATATCCCCAATATAATCCTACTGTTTTCTGTATACAGAAGGACAAATAGAATAAAAGTCAATGTAACTCTGAGATGACACAGAGCTAGTAGGGACTTTGATTTGTAAATGTCAATTTTCTCCTGTTTATCTCTGCCCGCCTACGGTAAAATATGAGACCCTCCACCTCCACCCTCTGTGATTTATTCAAGAAAAGCCATATTCGAAATAAATGTTCCCCAGCACCATAGGCCCCTAGTAAAAAAAAAAAAAGTAGCGATGATAATAATGGTCTTAAAGGTGTTGGTATCTCTTCCTTTACTCACTCCCTAGTCTCTTTTTGAAAACATGGAGTGACTTAATCTCCTTTTAATCGTATTGGGAATCATGGTTTGATATTTCTATTCTCGGATAGTTTTTATTCTCCTCTCGTTTTACACACCTGTTCAAGTTATCTATGAAAGTTAAATTCGGTCTACCTCTGCCTCTTTTGCCTTCTACTTTTCCATTGCAAGCAAGATGTTCATGGCCTTGTGTCGATTTAATTAGGGCCCTCTCGAAAGGAACCCCATTCTTTGCCTCTTTTATCGTTTGTTTGTTATTAATTAGAGACCGTCCTACGCCTTCTTACAGATTATCGCCTGTTTGGGCCCTTTACACGGCATCTGTCAGGACAAAGCTTCAAAGAGGAAGAAGATCTCATTCTAGCCTACATCTTGTCATTGCCATTTTTACTTTTATTTCGAGACAGCTCTCGTTTCGTGTCAAGGGTCGATTATACATACAGCTAAAGCTAAACAACGAGAATCTCGAAGAGCATCAAAACGACTGAATAAAAAACTTCGACAAAACTGCTGGTGCCATAAATATATAATTTGAGACACCGCACGACGTTTGTTGGTGGCGTTCCGCGGAAAGTAAACTGGATTATGTTTTAATGGTTTTTTCTATGACTGCAAGATATTTACGTACATTAATGAACTCAACCTGTATTATACGATATAGCCACAGAGGTGTTATCAAAGAACAGTGTTAGTCTCGTGGTACATGGACAAAAGAAAGGTCTAAGGAACTTAATAAGAGAGAGAGAGAGAGAGAGAGAG